TATATATATATATATAGAGAGAGAGAGAGAACACACTATATAACCTTTGTTTTAGCATTGATAAATGTGATATTAACGAACTTTAAGTTTGGAATTTTGTACCACAACGAAGAAAGGATATTTTCCTTGAATTTGCCCAAAGTTTACCTGTGTTACGACAGCGGAAGTCACGTGACACTAGTGACACGTCACGAGATTCTAGAAGAATCATATCTGTTCCTGGCAACTCTAGTTTTTTCTACGCGCCCTCTATTTTTGTATATATAAGCCGGCAAATGAAGTGACGGCATAGATAATTGCAGACAGGCAGAGATGGAGACGGACAATTGAGTCAAACGTGGTAGTGACCGTAAGTAAGGTGCATGAATCGTTGTGAATTATAGCGTGTGTTTAAGTTAAAGTGACTGTGGAAATTAAGTGTATTGCAAAGTTGTATTCAGAAAGAATAAACTAGTTTTATTTAAGAAAGGACTTGTGTTGCTAAAGTTTCATCCAAAAGAAATTATACGGGAAATTAACAAACGACCAGAGACATAAAAAATTGGTGTCAGAAGTGGCATAAAAAAAAAGAAAGAAGAAGATGAAAACCAGAGGTGGCAAATCAAACTACAGCTTAGCATATTTGATGGCAGCAATACAAGAACAGCAAAAGAAACAAGATGAACGAGAAAATAAACAAGAAGAGAGACAACAGCAGTTACAAGACAACCTGCAACAGTGTCAGCTCCAACAACAAAATAAACAAGAAAAGAGATTACAGCAGTGGTTCGAGGAGAAAGAAAATAAACAAGAAGAGAGATAACAGCAGTGGCAAGAAAACCTGCAACAGTGACAGCTCGAACAGCAAAATAAAAAAGAAGAGAGATTACAGCAGTTGTTGGAGGAAAAGAAACAAGAAGAGAGACAACAGCAGTGGTAAGAAAACTTGCAACAGTGGCAGCTCGAACAGCAAAATAAACAAGAGAGATAACAGCAGTTGTTGGAGGAAAAAGAAAAGAAACAAGAAGAGAGATTACAGCAGTTGTTGGAGGAAAAAGAAAAGAAACAAGAAGAGAGATTACAGCAGTTATTAGAGGAAAAAGAAAGGAAACAAGAAGAGAGACTACAGCAGTGGTTGGAGAAGAAAGGAAATAAACAGAGAGACTACAGCAGTGGCAACTGGAACAAGAAAGGAAACAGCAAGAAAGTCTTCAACAGTTGTGGGAAGTCAGCAGCAACTACAGAAAAGTCAACAACAGTAGCAATAAGTACAAATGGAAAAGATTAGTAAATTTCAAAGTGAATTAAATACATTAAAGGACGATTTATCGTCTTTTATGCAGGGAGAATATATTAACCATGGACCTAATCAGCCTCAGACCCTGCAGCTAAACCCTAATGCAAACAACTTCAGTCCTGTCAGAAGTCATATTCCAGACATGAGTGTCAGCAATAGGGGTGATTAGTACAAAGGGAGGTACCCTGGGAAGCATATAGAGCACAATTTGAGCTCCTGGCAGAAATGAATGGATGGACAGAGGAGCAGAAAGCAATATATCTGGCAATGAGCTTGAAGGGACAACCACTGGAAATACTTG